AACTCCAGCAGAAATTTTTAAGCACACATTTTATGATTAGGCGCTTAACATATTTGTAATTTGTGCAAACGATAGTCGGATTAATGATTTCGAAAAACAATACCTACATAGAACTGTTTTATTTAATAATACAATTGATGATTGACATCACTCATAAAAACAATAATAATTATTGTACATTATGTCATCGTGTAAAAAATATCGTATTAAAACAATGTAGGTATTAATTTTAATTTTTCATTTGGTTGGCTGTCTAATGATAAGGCAATTCGATAATAATTAAAAGTGGCTGCAGCTGCTGTCTGACTGGCTAAGTTCACGAATCACGATAATACAATACAAGACGTCAAGACAATAAAAATATTGTAAAAGATACGTWAAAGGTTATGTACTTTATCGGTAATTAAGTTCGTTATAATACTATATTATGAAGCACTACGCAATATTAATGTGTGGCTGACAATATTTTAAAACGGTTTATTATTATATTCACTTACCAAACATAATATTATTATTGCGAATTCGTATCAATAATACAAAAACTGATTAATAATCAGTAGGTATGTATTTGGCTACTTACCGTTTTACTAAAACCTATCACTATAGTAGTATTATAATAGTACCTATCACTTCTAATTTTCTGAACCATTAAATCACGTTTTTTGTTTTTTTTCAGTCCGTTAACCGTATTGATGATACAATCTCGTTTTTATTGAGTTCAAATTAGGTAAATAATAATATCGGTAACAGTGCTCAGTGGTTATTTCTTGTGACTTACATTATGACCATGTTCTATTTGGAAGATTTTCTGGAAAGTAAGTTATTGATTTCATATCGAAAACGAGTGTGTGCAACGTAATAATTTTTTGTTCAAGAACTAGAACTTTTACCGCAAGAGATGAAAAATCGCACAGCTGAAATCACGAAACTGGACTTGCAAGTAGAAAGTATGTAGTTATTTATTTTATCATTATTTATTCAACAATTTATTTGACTTTCATTGACAAATTATTAAATTAAAGGAGATTATAGTTTCAGTTTTCACTGTCATTAATAAATATTAATTTTCACTGTGCGTTACTGTTTTATATATTCTTTTTCACCCGCAATTAGAGTAAAATTTTTAATGCCTTCATTGAAATTGTGGAAAATCATCCTTTTCTGCTCAGCTGTAGTAAGAGGCTTTTCTATGCAACTGGTGAATCAGATTAATATGAATGTTTATACTTAGAACATACATTTCTTAATTAAATCATCATCATTTTCATTTTTTATTGTTAAAAATGAGCAACTGCTTTTTGTGTTGTATCAGTAAATATGGTAGGTACATATTGACAGTATCAAAACAAATAAATTGACTGTACTTTATGATAGATTTGATTAAATATAACATACAATATTTTGTAAAGGTATAATAACCCAACTAAATTTTAATGTTTTGTATTGTATTTATCATTACATGTTATTCAGTTGTAGGTAATTTTTATAATTTGTTAAAATTACTATTGTAAAATAGTTGCACACTTTATACTTAAAAATAAATAGGTACCAATGTATTATGGAATCATTCATTTAAAATGTATCTACTTAATACCTTACACAATTTATTAATGCTTACCAAACATTTTACTGTTTTTACATACCTATTGAAATTAATGTTTGAAAATATTGGTGTAACTAATGTTAAATTCAATGTATTTCACTAATTAATTTTTATATTAATTGCATTACAGAGACATTTAACTTCACTGCTTTACTCTTAATTTACTTTACTCTAAGTATTATTCATCTAATATTAACAAAATAAAATATCTAATTTAATATCTATTAGTTCTTATAACTTTTTTTTATTTGTTTCTTTACTTTATTTTTAAATGTACGGTGATTTATTTAATCTTAGGACAATTTTAAATTATTGGTAATTAAGTACATCATGAATTATTGTTATTACTGTAATACAACTAGTAAAATATAGTGCTTAGTAATATATTTTTGTCAAATAAAATTACATATTGAAATCTAATTCACACTTTTAATTCAACAATTACAAATTTAACAGTTCATACAATGTCAAATTTTCACGTAATATCTCCACATTTTGGACTCTAAATTATTTTTTAAATTTTTAATGGATATGGTATTATATCTATCAATTTTTATTAAATTTATAACCAAAGCATATATTGAATTTAAATATTAGTTTGTTAAGCTATAGGTTATTGTAAACCTGGAGTTAAAATGTGTAAAATATAATTTATAAACATTAAAGTAAAGTTTTATTAAAAATACAATCAAGTTCCGGTGAACTATAATTAGGTAGGGGACTTTGGCTATGTAACGATTAATATTGTATACTTGATTTCAGATTCAATGAATTATATAAGAAGTAATGTAGATACTTTATTTTCAATAGCTGACACTATGAATTCAGATGATTTGAAAGATAATTTTAAGACAATCATGAAAGAAGGTGATAAAGCTCTTGAGCTATCTGGTAATTTATTTAACGATTTATTTTGATTATTTTATTTATTTTATTTTATTAAGTTGTTATTTTAGATTCGAAACTTCAGATAGCAGAGAATATGCAAAAACTCTTGTCAAAATACATAAATCGATTGGATCTTGAGTTACAAGGATTTAAAACTGAATTGGAAGCTGATAAAAGTGGAATCACTGAACTTATTGAAAAAAGTAAAAGCTTAATAAATATCATTTCTATCGTGTTTATAACAAATTAATTTTGTAAAAATCTGATTTATATTATTTACCTAAATTAATCAGTTTTTAATTTTATTTAATTCTTAGAAATTTTAGATTCAGATCAAAGCAATACATCTAATCATAAAGAAAATGACTATGAAACTAACAAATATATTTTTGGAGGTAGGTAATTTATGAATTTGAAAAGTCAAGCTACGTACCATTTATGTTTCTGCCAGTTCATGTATTTAATGATTTAATCTTTTTATATATATATATATATTTTTTTTATCAATTATTGTGTAAAAATTTGGATTATTTTAAAAACAATGTTTTATCTATTTATAAATTGAATACAATTTTATGTATGTTATTATCTTGATTTATTCATTACAAAATTTGTAAATTAATGCATTTGTGATATTTTGCTTAAGTTAGTTATATAATCGTTTAGCAATGTAGAATTTTATCTTATTTTTATTCAGTAGATAATCATTAACAATAAAAATAATATGATGGAAACAGTCACATTTAATAATTGTGTGATTTTATTGGAATTAATTGTTGTAATGTGGTTTTTATGCTCTTATGAAAATTATGGATATTATGTATTGTGTTGTTGTTTAATTTTTTTACTTATCCATGTAATACCATTGAAAATCCTTATTTAATTAACAGTATTACTTGTTAGGTACCTAATATTGAAAATGAAGAGTCCTTCACAATTTCGATAACATTAAAATATAATTATTATAAATTCAAAGAATATAATTTAAAAAACATATACAATTAGGTTATGTACTTGTATAATTTATAACTAAAAAAGTTATTGTATTTAATTGTATTGTTATTTTTTTGTTAAATGTTTATATTCTTATAATCAAATGATATATAGTGAAAAAAAAACACAAGTATTTAGTCCATTAAAAAATATATATACTCAATATCTAACTAGTATTATGCTGTTTTATCTTATTTGAAAAATACCATTTGATCTATTGATGCTATAATTATGCCGAATACATATCATTATAACCAACATGAAGCCTACTAGTAAATAATTTATTTATATTTTTCATYATATATCCTAGTCACATAAATAGGAATTAACACATTTCAAACATGAACAGATTACTTATTTTAAATCATTTGTTGATGTCTATATGTACTTGTTTTATATTTTTTTTCTTCACATATAAATATAAAATTCACTTTCCAAGATATCTATGTGTATTTATTAATCAATAAGTATAACATGTAATACTGCAAATAGTTAACTTCATTTAATTAGACCCTTTAAATGTTTTTTGTTTTATTTATTATAACACTGTTTACAGATACTAATTATAGCTAAATGCCTAAACATATTACTTTCTAAATAACTACCTTTTAAATAAATTACACAAATACTTGTTTAGGTTATAAAGTTGGTGTACAACTTGAAAGTTTTTTATTTAAATAAAGTATTTTGGTTAATATAAAATAATTATTACTAAAATACAATAATTAGATATGTAAATAAACCTATATTATTATTTATTACATTAATTTATCTAGTATACTTGCTGTGTTCCTTTTAGAATAGTTCTATATTTAAAAGAAAATAGTATTAAATAAACATCTTTTATTCTGTTATTGTAGAAACAGAAGAAGTCTTAAATAATGTTAGCAGTATCAATCAAAAATCTATTGAGGTAGCTTCAGATGCATCTAGTAGTGAAGAATTAGTATCATATTTTCAACCTGATACTAATCCTGTTAATTCTCAAATGGCTCCATTTCCACTATCTTTTACTATGGGGGCTGATTGCTCGCCAATTTCAGCAGTTGTATCTGAAGCTATTGTTTCTTCTCAAAAGGTATAATTAAAAATTGCTCTAGATAAATGTTTACTATTTATTCTTAGCATAGTGAGAAGTGGTTTATCATTTTAAATAATTTTAATCTATTTTGTTTTTCATTTATTAGCAAATATTCTGGTTTAGTTGAGGAATTAATTATATATTCATGTTGATAGGCAGGTAGTTATTGTTTTTACAAAATTCAAAAATACAATTATAATTCATAACTTATTCATATTTTACAAAACATTAAAAAGCAGATTTTTTATTAAAAATGTATTTTACGTCTATAGAAAATGTTAAGGTAATAGTATTATTAAGGAATGGTATGTACCATGGCACTTTTCTTTATTTTTTTTTTTATATATACAGGGTGTCCCACAGAGATCTGACATTCTGACAAATGAAAA